TGTGAATTTAATTCATTAATTAGTAAAGAAGAAGCAAGTTATTTAAAAAATCATCCGTTAGTGCAACATGCACCATTGAATTCTCGAGATGCTTTTTATGGAGGACGAACAGGAAATTTCTACAACTATTATAAATGTAAAGAGGAAGAAAAAATAAAATATATAGACATTTGCTCGTTATACCCTTGGGTTTGCAAATACGGAGAATTTCCTATTGGCCACCCGCAAATTTATGTCGGGGAAAGTATTTATTCTACTCTAAAACTAAATAACATGGACGGAATTCTTAAATGTAAAATTTTACCACCAACGAACTTACTACATCCCGTTCTCCCACTAAAACAAAACAACAAGTTAATGTTTTCATTATGTCGAAGTTGTAGTGAAAAAAAATGGCTTGAAGAATGTTGTCCACATTCAGATGAGGAAAGAGCTTTAATAGGAACATGGGTAGTTGACGAAGTTGTAAAAGCTATTCAAAAAGGTTATAAAATGTTAGCAATTTATGGAGTTTGGGAATACCAAACTACAAAATATGATAAAAACATGGAAACACGCCATTTGCAAATATGATGAACAAATTTATTAAAATTAAGCAAGAAGCTTCAGGCTGGCTATCTAAATGTGTCACTAATAACGAAAAAGAAAACTATGTTAAAGATTTTTTTGATAAAGAAGATATTCAATTGGAGCATGAAAAGGTTTCCAACAATCCTGGCTTAAGATCATTTGCCAAATTATTGTTGAATTCATTTTGGGGCAAATTTGGTCAAAGAGAAAATTTGCAAAAAACGTCAATCATTAACCGGCCTAGAGAAATGTACAACCTGTTAACAAACCCATCTATAGAAGTTTGTTATATTTTTCCGGTAAATGAAGAAAACATTATAGTTAATTGGCAGTACAAGGAAATAGTAATGGATTAATTACCAACAGTTAATGTGTGTATTGCTGCTTACACAACAACTCAGGCGCGATTAAAACTGTACAGTTACTTAGAAATATTTCAAGAAAGAGTCTTATATTACGATACTGATTCCGTAGTGTATATCAGTCGTGAAGGGGACTATGAACCTTCAGTAGGGGATTTTATTGGTGACATGACAGATGAGTTAGAATGTTATGGTAAAGATAGCTACATAACAGAATTTGTAAGCGGTGGCCCCAAAAATTACTCATTTAAAGTATATAGTGCAAAAGATAAAGAAGAAAAAATTATATGTGAAGTTAAGGGTTTTTGTTTAAATTATGAAGATTCCCAAAAAATTAATTTTAACACAATCAAAGAATCTGTGTTAAACCTGAAAGCAGACAACGAAATTTATATATTATCACAAAATATTGGGCGCAACAAAGAACACAAAGTACTACCGGTTCCGCAAGTAAAAGTATATCAATCAAAATCAGAAAAACGCAACTTTGCTGTAGATGGTAGCTCCCTTCCTTACGGATATAAGAGGTTAAAACAAAACTAAATATGTAAAAAAATAAAAATATAAAAATAAACTAAAAAATAAAAAAAAAAACAAACATAAGAATTACATTCTCCAATTTTTATTATTGTACAAAGGTCGAAAAATAAAACTATGTATATAATATGTACTATGTTGTAAATAATACTATCTTTATTGATCCATGTATTATGATCGTCGCTGAACCCCAACCATTTTACGAAAACTTTATTTCCCTGTTTTTTAATAATTTTTTCTACTAGGTAAGCATCAGGATATTTAACAGAAGTAAGTTCTTCCTTATAGAAACCACCAGAAATAGTTTTGTCTTTATAGTCAACTAATTGATATGTAATGGGATATGTTTTATTTACTTTAGCGATTTTAAAAATCTCAGTAGACCAGTTAGGTTTATAACCTTTTTCAAAATGCTTTTTGTATTTATTTATCCTTGCATAATCACCAATTTTATATTTACTTTTTTGAAAAATTTTAGGTTCTATATAGATATTTCTTAATAAATATTGTTCATTTTTCTTTGTAACTTCTTCAGGTGAAATTTTTATTTTCTTATGTTTTGTTGAATTATACTTCCGTATTAATGATGATAAAATATGTAACCATTTATAATTTCTATTTAAACTAATGGTTTTCCACATCATATTTTTTAATGTTCTATTAAATCTTCCGACAATTGATGCTTTCATTTCGCTGAATGTGTGATAATGATTAATTGCTTTTTCTTTCATATAACTTTGGAATTTTAAATTAAAAAACTCCCTGCCTTAGTCAGATTGAATATTTTTGGGAATTGATTTTGATCTTTTAATTATTAATTTTAAAGAGTTTAAAACATTTTCAGCATTTTTTGTTTTTACAGGTTCTGCGTAAGCGTATTTTGAAAATATATCTATAGCTGTTAACATGTATTTATATCCTGTTGAGATCTTTCTCACAAAAGGTTCTACACTCCTGACTTGATTTTTAAATTATTGAAAAACACTTTCTTGAATATTATCATACTCTCTTAAACTTGGCTTAATTATGTATATTTAAATTACATACATAATGATTCACTTACACATTAGTAATTTAGTTTAATTTCGAAAAATGAATTAACTGTAAAATTCATTTTTCTCTCATTATAATATGTATAAATAATTTGAAATTCTATACTTATCTTCCTACTCGATTAATGGTCACAGTGCAGTTAAGTTGATTTAAAAAAAGCATGTGTTTTCTTTTTAAGTGTAATAAAAATAATTATAAGTGTTTCAATTTGAACATTAAAAATAAATTGTATATAAGAATAATAATTATAAATGAATTAATAATTAAATTAAGTAAAATGTGATAATAATAATTTAATAAATGAAATGTTAAATTAAAAAATAAATTAATAAAATTGAAACATAAAATGGTCTTCTTGTTTAAATAACCAGGAAGCCATATTGGTGACCCCAGACTAAAAACACGTGAAACAAAAAAAGACTAAAGTGAAATATTTATATGTTTTAAATATAAAAACTTTTATATTTTTTAAAATAAGTTATAATATAAAATCTAGTAAATAAAACGGAAATCACTAAATAATAATAATTAAAAGTTTAATGCAAAATTTATAAACATAATATTTCAATATTCAATAAAAAAGGATAATTAAACTTACTTTAAATTATAACACTTATAATAATAATTAAAAAATAAAAAAATTTTAAAATAAAAATGTATAGTGGTTAAATAAAAACCCTTAGTTAAAAGTTTTACATGCAGACAATATCCATCATCATCAGTTAAAATTTTTATCATCATCACAATCATACACAATCATCCAATCATATATAATTTCAACTTGGACACTTGCATCATACATTCACAATTTCAACTTCAATCAAACAATTGCACATTCAACCATTCAACTATAAAATTGCGTTCAACTAATCATTCATCAACATTTTCAAGCGGAATTATCAATACTCATCCATCAATATACTCATCATCAATACTCATCCATCACTTCATCAACCAGAAAGCATCATCAATAAAGATAAGTTCTATCAATTTCCTTATTTTTTACATTTCTAATTTTTAAAAAAAGAATAATTAAAATACATTTTTTTAAAAAAAAAAGTTTTTGTGTTTCAAAAATTAAGATTAAAAATTAAAATTTCAAATAATTACATAGTAACATAAGTAGTTCACTAATTAACCAACCGAAATCATTACATTTTTTTTTTCTTTTTAATTGAACTTAAACTTAAATTGATTCAAACATTTTTTTTACTATTTTAGATACTAAACTATTATTAATAAATATTAATGATAGAATAAAAATATTTTTATCACAACATACATACATAAATGCAGAACATAAAATATATCGTATTTAATATATTAAATTTTAATGTGATTTTAATATAATTTTAATATCAAATTATGTACATTACATATAGTATATTTCATTTAAAATTTTGCAAAATTTAAAATATATTAAAAGTATATTATTTTCTTTAATATTTGTATGTATGTTTGTTTATTTAAAAAAAAAAAAAATTTTTTTCTCAAAAATACACCTAGGTCAAAAAGACGTTTACCTAGCATCATAAAGACATACAGTCATAATTTTTCAATTATAATTTTCGGTTTGTTAATTATTTTTTTTTTAATTAGTGATACAAATATTATTTTATTTAATTAATTAAATTTTAAAATAACATATACATTGTAATTTTAACATCTAAAAATTTAAAATTTTTTTTAATATTAATTTTTCTTAAATATAGAAAATAAAAACATTATTTTATACATCTTTAAAAATTTTTTTTTTACATATACCCATATAAGTACATACTTACATACGGGCATGCATATATAGGAATTGTATTTAATGAATTTTAAATTTTTTTTAATATCGAAATTTTTTTAATATCAATTTTAACACGCATATATGTACATTGGGGTATGCACATATATATTGTAAAATTTAAGTGCATTGTGACCTTTCATATTGATATATTTTTTTTTCTCTTACCTGAAGTGATCATACATTTATTTTTTTTTTAATTTTTGGTGAATACAGTAAAACCATTTTTTATTGAACGTTAATTTAATTAATGAATTTTAAATGAAAATAATTTTAAATTAAACCAAGTTTTTCTTACCATTTTAAAAATTTTTTTTAAGTTTATGGTTCGAGGATTCATATATTTTTATGAAATTATTTTGAGGAGATTCTTGAATTTGCAATAGCTATTTTTGCATCGATACTATTAAATATTTATGATTTAACTATTTTACCATTTTATACACTTACCGACTTATTAAGTGTATACTGAGCCCTATTAATACAATTCGTTTATTTTTAGAAGTATTAAAAATATTTATTTAATATCAAAGTTCAATTGAAAATTCTTCAATTTTTTTCTTTTTTAACCTTTTCGTAGTTTAGACCGTTCCGAAATTTTTTTTTTTTCATTTAAACATTTCATTTTAATTTGATACAAATTTTTCTTTGTTTTAAATTTTGTATTTCATAAAATCAATTTAAATATGTCGAATGACGAGAAAATACCTATCAAACAGACCCATTTTACAAATCCTTTGATGCCTCCTTTGCCTAGTGTTTTGGAGGAAGAAACAAATACCGACTCAAACCCTTTCAGTCCTGCGACTGAGATAAAACACGAAGTAGACTCTGTGCGCGTTCGTTTACCCCCATTTTGGTCTGCCAACCCGGCGACCTGGTTCATTCAGGCGGAAGCGCAATTTTCGGTTTATAGAATAACCAGTAGGAATACCAAATACTGTCTAACTGTGTCTGCATTACCTCCAGATACACTAGATTTCGTGATCGATATTTTAAAAAATCCACCAAGTTCGCAGCCGTATGAAACTCTAAAAGGGGCTCTCGTGGAAAGACATTCGCTTTCCGAAATTAAAAAATTGGAATCTCTCCTAGATCGAGAAGATATTGGTGATCGCAGGCCATCCGAAGTCTTTAGGTCCATGCGGATGCTAGCGGGTAGCTCATTTAATGAAAGTATTATCAGAAACTTGTGGCTTCGTCGTTTACCGCGCAACCTTTACATCACCTTACTGGCCGTGTGTGATAGGCCTATGAATGAGCTCACTTCTTTAGCAGATAAAATATATGAGGCTTCTCAATCCGCGCTTTTAAATGCAGTTTCGAGAACGAACAACGCGAATATATGCGCTAGTTCTCCAGTTTCGAGTAAAATCACCGACACTTCATCTAACTTTGAAGACCGTTTGTCGAGGATTGAAGAAATGCTAGCAAAACTCAATACGGGATCAACTTTTCGAAGTCGTTCTAGAAGTCGGAATTCCAGTCGAAATAGGTCCGCCTCTGGACAACCCTTGTGTTGGTATCACAAAAAATTCGGGCGCGACGCGCTGAAATGTGTAGGACGATGTAGATTTTCCTCATCCTTTCATAGGGCGAACGCTTCCACAAAAACGAACTCCCCAAACTAAAACGCCCAATTATTGTCGCGGCTAATAACGGGAATTACTCTTCACGCCGCTTATTCGTAAGAGACGTTAACAACGACATTTTATTTCTTGTCGACACGGGCGCTGACGTCTCTGTTATACCAAATCGGGGAAATATTGGATGCAAAAATCGGCCTTCGGACTTCTTGCTTTCTGCTGCAAACGGCACTCTTATACAAACTTACGGTACTAAACTACTTCAACTAAACATCGGATTGCGCAGGCAATTTTCACACGCTTTTATCATCGCGTCAGTAGGTAGGCCTATAATAGGGGCAGATTTTTTGGAACGCTTCGGGCTATTGGTCGATCTGAAGAACAAGAGATTGGTAGATCCAGGCACAAATATGTCAGTTGAGGTTTCGCAGGCTAAGGTTGACGTTGTTACACCTTTGCATTACGTCGTGGAAAGTGAATACGGCGCAATTCTTAAAAATTATCCAACCCTTACTCAGGATTCAGATTATTCCGCACCTGTTAAACATTCGGTCGTTCATCACATCATAACCAAGGGACAACTTCCTTTTTCCTCTCCACGTAGACTTGATTCAGTGCGTCATAAAACGGCTAAAACAGAATTCGAATATATGGTCAGCATTGGGATATGTAGACCTTCTTCGTCATCCGTTTCGTCGCCACTCCATATGGTTAAGAAGAAAAATAACGTCGATTGGCGGCCGTGCGGCGATTACCGGCGTCTGAACGCTGTCACGGTGCCAGATCGTTACCCTATTCCTCACATTCAAAACTTTTCCATGAATTTATTTGGCAAGCGTATCTTTTCAAAAATCGATCTTGTTAGGGCATATCACTTGATCCCTGTTTCCCAAGACGACATGCATAAAACTGCAATAACTACTCCTTTCGGCATGTTCCAATTTAGTCGTATGCCTTTCGGACTTCGAAATGCCGCTCAAACCTTCCAACGATTTATGGACGAGGTCACTCGCGGTCTCGATTTCCTATTTGTATATATCGACGACATTTTGGTCGCCAGTTCTACTCCATCTGAGCATAAGCAACACCTGCAAATCCTTTTTAAGCGTCTGTCCGAATATGATATTAAGATCAACAGTTCTAAGTGTGTCTTCGGTGTTTCGGAATTGGATTTCTTGAGTCACAAGATTTCTAGTGCTGGTATATTTCCTTCACAGGATCGCGTAGAGGCGATAGTTAACTCCCCGATACCTAATTCAGTCCGCCAAATACAACGGTTTATAGGTATGGTTAACTATTACCATCGATTCGTACCCGATCTTGCTAAATTACTTTCTCCTATTTACACTCATCTCTCTGAGTTACTTAGGAGGCCAAAAACTGCCAAAAACTTTAGTTGGCCTGAAAGTCTCAATGATGCGTTTACGGTAGTTAAAGACGCTCTTGCCAAGATCACTCTTTTGGCACACCCACTTTCGAATGGAACATTTGGTATCGCTACGGATGCTTCTGATATTGCCGTCGGCGCTGTTTCGCAGCAGCAGCGTGATAACAACTGGAAACCACTCTCATTCTTTTCGAGAAAACTCACCCCCGCCGAGCAAAAATATTCAGCTTTCGATCGCGAGCTGCTTGCTATTTATTTAGCTATAAAACATTTTCGGTATTTCGTAGAAGGACGTGAATTTTCAATACTTACCGACCACAAACCTTTAGTAACGGCTCTTTTCACCAAAACCGAGCGAAGCCCGCGGCAAGCCAGGCACTTAGATTATATTTCGCAGTTCACGACTGATATACGTCACATTCGTGGAAGTGATAACGTTGCCGCTGATGGTTTATCGCGAATAGATAGTTTGGATTCTTCTTCCGGCAAATTCATTGTCGATCTTGGAAAGGTTTCCAAAGCTCAGGGGACTGACGAGGAGTTAAAAACCCTTCTCTCTGACTCGTCATCGAGCCTCAAACTTCAAAAAATTTCTCTTCCTGGTTTGGACGTGTATTGCGAGGTCTCTACTTCGCGATATCGCCCTTACATTCCAAGCCCTTTGCGTCGCAGTATTTTCGAACACTTACATAGTTTTTCTCACCCGGGAATTCGTGCTTCGCGTAAGCTTGCAACGGATAAGTATTTTTGGCCGAGGATGAATGTTGACGTCGCGAAATGGACTAGAGCTTGTTTGGCTTGCCAAAGATCAAAAATTCAACGACATACGAAATCACAATTCGGGAAATTTGACCTACCTTCGGGCCGACTCGAGCATATCCATATGGATCTAGTAGGCCCTTTACCGATTTCCGCTGGAAATTCATATATCTTAACAATTGTCGATCGTTTTTCGCGATGGCCTGAGGGTTACCCTATCAGGGACATGACCGCGTCGACAGTCGCGCGCACTTTCGCTGAAAATTATATTCCGCGATTCGGAACCCCATCTAGAATAACCACGGACCAGGGTTCACAATTTGAATCTAAGTTATTTGCAGAACTAACGAGTTTATAATTTAACACAGAGCTCTATCGCCGACTGTAACTTATTTTATCATTCATCTAGTTGTTGTAAATTTCCTAATTATTTGCACTCTTATAGTAGTGTTTTTATTTGTGATAAATTGTGCTTTAAAGTTGAAAGTGTTCTATATAAACTCGTATTATATATATAAACTCGTATAAATTTTTGGGTATTCATTTGGACTATAGGATGAACTATAGGATTTGGACTATAAATGTTTCGAGAATAGCCTATTTTGCACTTTTTACTTCTAAGCTTCAATACGGTATTGTTTGTTGGAGTGGATTTTATATTAATAAGATATGCCCTATTTTGATTGTCCAGAAGCATTGCATGAGAGTCTTGCTGAGGAAGAATAGATTTGTACCTAGTTTTCCATTGTTTAGAAACCTAAATTTTCCCCCCTTCGGCACCTTTATTTTTATAAATCTTTAAAAGTCTTCTTTATGCGATCTGGCTACTTGGTTTTTCTGATTATAATTTGAGAATTAATAATATGAATATGGCAGTTGTTCCAAGAGCTAGATTTTGTCATTTTTCTCATTTCTATATCTCGATTGCGCCAAAAGTATTGAATATATTGCCATTGGATCTCAGAAGCATTCGAACTTTGTCAGTATTTGCAAGGATTCTTAAAAAATGGGTATTTAATTTCGACCAAAAAGGAATTGAGCTTTTGTTGAGCTAAATTTGTTTGGTGTACAATCTAGTAATTTGAAAGATTTAATAAAGATTTGATTACAATTTATTGCGTTTTAGAATGTATAAGTTGTTTGAAATTGTAAATTTTATTTTTATATTTTAGCAATATTTGTTTTATGTAATGTCAAAAACACAAGATTCTATTACCCCAGGTGGTAATCCAACTCGTTTGGAAACCCATCCTCTTCGGAGGCTGGCCCCTCGGATTCTGGGGAGGGTCAACCATTACATATCTTGCCAGACGACCCGGCTAGCATCCGACGCTTAGAGGTATTCGGGCCTCTAAGTCTTAAATTGACTACCGAAAACATCAACGCGAGTGGAACACAAAAATCATTATTGAAGTCATCTCAATTCAAATACGTTCAGCAAACACTTCAATAGAGTTTTTCATTACGAAAACATTCTTTAGGAAATCCATTAGAAAATGAAGAGAGCAACCCAGATGACGTAATGGAAACACCAATAGTACATAACCAGGAGTTCCCGTGGCAAAAAATACCAATTCCGAAATGAATTAGATCGCCAGAAGACACACAGTCTGCAAAGAAAAGGTGTCTAAAAAAAACAAAAAAGCAACTCAACAAAAACAGAATATAGCCGTAAATGCATCAACTATGAGGAATGAAAATAGGTATGAAATTCTAGGAGAAGATGGCGATAGTGATGCAAGTGAAACAATTGAGCGCAAAAATGAAAAAATAAAAAAAAATAAAAATTTCTAAACCACCACCAATTATCCTTTACGGAATAGAACATCTTACGAAATTAATGGAGCTCATTGAACAAAAAGTTACAAAAGAAGATTATATCTATAAAGTAGTTACAAGAAATCAGTTATCTCATCAAAAACTGTTGAAAATTACAAAATTTTAATCGGAATCATTCGTGAAAAAGGATTGATTGGACATACATTCACTAGAAAAGATGAAAGATGTCCAAAAATAGTAATAAAACACTTAAATTTTTCAACACCTCACGAACCCCATCACAACAATAAATTGGTCAAAGATATCAAATAAATTTACCATCAAACTGTCAAAATTGAAGATCCAAGAAGAAAAACTACTATTGTTCAATGCGTTAGATATCAACAATATGGACACACTAAAAACAATTGTATGAGACCTTATAGATGTGTAAAATGTGCCGGCCCTGATAAAACCACGGAATGCCTGAAAACTAAAGATACTCCAGCTAAGTGCTGTCTTCGTCTATGCAACCATCCCGCAAATTACAAAGGATGCTCGGTTTACAAAGAGATCCTAAATAGAAAAACAAAAAAAGATAGTGCACAAAGGAGTAACGTACCTAAAGCGAAAATTACTAACCCAAGAAACGATGAAACTCGTATAGAAGAGAATGGTAACCAAATGCCGCCTGAGATGCAGACAACCCCGCTAATATCAAAGAAATCCTACAGTGAAGTTACCAAAAATGTCAATATCCTAAAATATAGCTATACAAATGAACTTAAACGAACTTCCTTTCCACGACAACAAGTCGCAGCCAAACCAAAATTTAAACTTTTTAATTGTCAAACAAACTGAAAAAATAGATCAATTAATGCAACAGATCGTTGTATTAATAAATTTAATTACAACACTTATAAGCAAATTACAAATAAAGGCGAATTAGAAATTATATGAAAAATTAACAAAATCGATATCATACTCATCTCAGAAACACATCTTAAAAAAGGAAAAAATTTCAAACTCGATGGCTATGAAGTTTATCACACAAACCACCCAGACGGAACTTCACATGGTGGAATTGCTATAATAATTAAAAAAAATATTGAACATTACCCCCATAGCAAAGTCAAGTAGG